AAAAGAGGATGAGAGCCAATATTTTAGGTCCTAACTGTAAACAGGCTTTTAAAACAGATACATTCAGAGCTAAAACAGGCTGTTTGGGAGGTTAAAAGTCCTCAAGAAGGAAGTAAAGTAGAAGTGCTGGAGAAATCTCCTAAGGAAGCTGAGACAGACAACAGGAGACTAACCATGTGCTTGGGTCATGCCTGAGCCAGAGATGGCATATAAGCTCACCCCAGCAGGAGGAGGCATCACACCTCCCTCTCCTCTCCTGAGTCTCTCTCCTCACTTTCCCCCGTCCTCTCTGCTGACACCATGGGCTGTGGCGGCTGTGGCAGCTGTGGCAGCTGCTGTGGGGGCTGCTGTGGATGCTGCTGCCCTGTGGTCTGCTGCTACCGCCGCACCTGCCGCCGCTGCTGTGGCTGTGGCTCCTGTGGCTGTGGCTGTGGGAAGGGCTGTTGTCAGCAGAAGTGTGGCTGTAAGAAGCAGTGCTGCTGCTAGGGGCGCCAGCTCTGGGCAGATGCTGGTTGGGGCCAGGTTCCTTTACTTAAATATTTAGACACTGTGTACTGTAATCTTCCCTCACTTTGCCTAAATATCAAGCCGTGGATTTAATAGATACCCACTTCATTAGAAAGCAGAAGACCATGTTTAAGTCTACGCTTTGCTGGAAAGCCTGACCATGGATAAATCAGCCACCTCCCTGAGTTTGCTTCTTTATCTATGATGTAATAAAGTTGAACCTAGAACCTGTAAGGACTTTTTCCATTTTAATACCATGTGAATCTACTGAGTTCTTCAAACTCATGGGCCTCCCACCCTTACACTCTGAAGATCCCTCTTCTATGCCTGACACTCTCCTTGTGTATACCTTGGATACAAGGATCATTAAAATGTGTTCATATTAAAAACTCCACCTTCAGTCCAATGTGAAGTCTCAATTATAACCTGCATTATAACAAAAACTGCCGAAGTTCACTTCATGAGGGCTCAAAAAATTCACAATAATAATGAAACGAGTAAAAGACTGCTTTTGAATACATTCTATTTTGAAATGTTCACCCTATGGAACTTCTGTACTTAACAAATCCATGTGTGTTGACTATATGCCCTATGTTTTCTGCAATTATGTGTTCATCTTCCCAATATGATTTATTAATGAAACAATAGAAAAATATTATGTTTGTGTCTTTTATTTGATTTTCTTGTTGACCGATGGAGCTGATGATGTTTTGGCAACATGGGTTGCAAACTTCAGGAAGGCTATAAGAAGACACAGTATACATTTAATTTACTGGGGAAATGATACTGTGACAAATGGACATAAAATGTTACAGGAAGTTACTGGAATAGAGGGTTTTTTTGTTGATGTCAAGAATCCTGGGTAGTTTTAGGCGGGCAGAAAGGAATGTGGGCTGGGGGACTGTTCTCTGTTCCATCATTCAGGAATCCACGTTGAAGAAATCGTTAGTATGGTCAAGGTGTGACTTCTAAAATAGCTTAGTTGTCCCCAGACTATTGTGGAAAAGAAGAAGCTAGACAAAGCCCAACACTAAGTAAGCAGTTTGGCTTGCAAGTAACATGGATTTCTTTCCCTCTTTCCGTTGATTTTAAGTAGCTACATGGTCCTGCTTAGCTGAAAAGGGGCTGGGACGTACGCAAGTGCAGAGAAGTGGTCTAATGTGAAAAGAACGTACTAAGTTTTCCCTTGTGTGTTAGCCACTTTTCTGTTGCTGTGATAGAAGCACTGACCCAAGCAATTTATAGAAGGAAGAGTTTATTTGAGCTTATGGTTCCAGGGGAATTACAGTCCATCATGGCAGGGAGGCATGGTGGCTGGAGGTGGCTGGAGCAGGAGCTACAGAAGCTAAACTCTCACATCGTCACACAGGCACAGGAAGCAAGAGAGCAACTGGAGATCCAGCAAGGCTTAAGAATTCTCTAATCCCCCCCCCAGTGACATGCTTCCTCCAGGATAGCCACACCTTCTAAGACCTCCCAAAACAGTGTCATCATCTGGGGACAAAATGTTCAAATACTTGGAGCCTATGGGGGACATTTTCATTAAAACCACCATACCTTGTTACCTGTATCACTTAACCATGCTCTTTTAAAACTCCCAACTGATTTGATGGCGTGTGTTTAGAAGAGGATGTGCTGAGGCAACTTAAGTGGGTGTTTGTTACCCGTTCATGTTCTTGAATTTCTCCTGGGGCAGTTCAACATGTCAGGCAGCATACTCTGTATGGTTAAGAGTTGGCTTGGTATCATGCGAAACTCCTATACAGGATGGAACATCAAGGGCAGGGGATCAAGAAGATGGCAGGCACTAGAGAGCCCCAACTTGCTTTTAAAATGTTACATGTCACTCTAGACTCACAAGAAGACACATAGTTCAAGTTTTTAAAGAATCTGATATGTTGTAAACTAGAAAACCTAGAAACACTTTCTACTATACACTTCAGTAAGATCACTATGATGACTATGATGAACTGTCTTATTCAACATCCGTTTAGTGCCTCTCCAGTTTTTCTTCCTGTGCAACAAAAATGGGATGATAAGGAATGACATTTCCCAGAGCCCTCTGCATCTAGAATCTGGATATGCAACAATTAGCTGGATCTTTGAGAGAGGTGGAAACAGCACAAGGTGAACACCATCCTCTTAGTCTTTCTGCTGTTGATGGTGAAAAGATGGTTGATCTATTAATCACTTTTCTGTTGCTGTGATAGAAACACTGACCAAAGAAACTTATAGAAGGAAGAGTTTATTTAGCTTATGGTTCCAAAGGGACAAGAGTCCATCATGGCAGAGATACATGGTGGCAGAAGTGGCTGGAGGAGGAGCAGAAGCTAAGCTCTCACATCTTCAAGCAGGCACAGGACAGAAGAGAGTGACTGCAGATCTGACAAGGCTTGAGAACTCTCTAAGCCCAAACCCAGTGATGTGCTTCCTCCGGCAAGGCCACAACCTTCTAAAGACCTCCCAGACCAGTGCCACCAACTGGGGACAAAATGTCCAAATACTTGGAACCTATAAGGGACATTCTCATTCAAACCACCACAGTGGACATTGAGTTTCTCTGTTGTTTTGTGGTCCCGGTGATGGAAGAAGCAGCTGAAATGGCAGCAGTGCAGTTGTGTTCCAGGGGCTTCATCTCCAGCCTGGAGGGTGTGGTGGGGCGATGACAGTAACAGTTGCAGTGATCATCTGGCCTGTGGCTAAAGTGGCATGTGCTTGAACTTGACCATCTCAGAGGCAGCAGCTTGATTTTTCTGCCTTTCTGAAGACAGCAGAGCTAGCAGCTCCCTTAGAGCCAGTTCAGATATTGTATCCTGAGAAAGATTCCTGTAGATGAGCTAGCCCCATCCCCCAGCCTTTCTTCTGGTTCCTGGAACAGTTCTGCACACAGAATTCCTCATCTTCCTCTCCTTGACTTTTTGCAGGCGACTGACACTGTAACATGGAATGTTCTTCTCATCACCTTTTGGTCGAATTTTTCAAGCTGAAAGGAGCCCTGGTTCTCAGCTCATCTGGATAAACTCCATTCTGACCACCGAGGCTTCTGTTGGCTTTGTGACAACTCATCAGCATTCTTTCCAATAACTGGTCTTCTGAAGCTTTTGGTTGCAGAAAAATAGAAACTCACTAAAAAGAGTATAAAATGGATAATTATTGTGAGATTATAGGAACTTCTCACAGAAAACAGACAGGAGTGGCTGTTGTTCTTCATAAAGTAGAAATTAAGAAAGGGAAAGCCACCGAGAGTGCACCCCCCACCACTAAAGCCACATGTGTTTCTTGTCGGCTCCCTCCCTTCCTCCCCCTCCCTGTTTCCCTCCTCCTCCCCCTCCTTCCCCCCTCCTGTGGACTCCACCACTGTCATTCACTCATCGTTGCCAACAGCATCTGTGGAATCTGCGTTCTGGGTGCAGATGGGAGGTGTTAGATATTAGCGCTGCCTAATGTTTGAGTTTCTTCTGAATGCAATCATTTGAATTTCACCACCCACCCATACCCATAGCTGAGTGACTCATTTGGCCAGTGAGTGAACAGAAATGGAACAGACCCTTCTAGGCACAAAGGAGAGCAGAGGCCAGCACCACACTTTAAAACCTGGCCTCTGTGTTTGTGGAGACCGGATGGAGATGGCCCTACTGCTCCCCTGGCCTCCTGGGAGCCACCATGAGAAGGGCCCCCTTGGGGAGCATGATGGCCGCTCAGCGTAAATAAAGGACTTTCGCGTTTGAAGCCCATCCTAACTGATTGAGTCTTTTCTCGAGGGGCTCACAAGCTAGTATGGAACCAACATGGAGCCACGGTCTAGAAAGGTCAAGTGTGCTACGTGGCTCAAGGTTTGATTAAAGCAAGAGATGGTCAGTTCCTCCAGCCTCTTTCTCTTTGTTCACTTTCCTTCCTGTGGCATGAGCCAAACCTCCCACATGTCACAGGAGGGCTGAGCACAAAGGGTCTACTCTACAAGACTAAAATAAGCGAGCATCGTAAAAGTACTATATGTGAGCAAATGACCTGAAACAGAATGCTAATATTTTGAATATTTGTAGAGGAGAAATATTTTTGCCAATCTTATACACACTCATATTTTTACTGACAACTTTAAAATGAAGATTTCCTAGCTGGTAATACTATCAACAACATATGAAAAGTAATCCTTGCTAACTCTTTTTTTACTTTTTATAAGGCATACCAGTAAAGGAATATTTTAGAGGAACTTAAGTTTAATCCTTTTATGTTGGTTTTGATTTGTCTATATTCATGTGCAGAGTTACATCATAGATTTCTTCTTTCTGCCTGTTTCCCTTCACCCTATCATAATATAAAGTGATTATTGGTTCCCGTCATAATCCGTATAATAACGTCTTGCCCTACTGGACTCTGAACTGCTTTCTGAAACTCTTTTTTTCATAAGTGCTAATCTTTAACCAGAACATTTAGATAAAAGGCCAGCCAGTGCTATGTGAGCCCAGCCACACTGACGAGGCTCCTAGCTGAACCTGGGTAACCATGACTTGCTGTGAGGGATGGACATCCTGCAACGGATTCTGCCTGCTGATTCTGCTTCTGCTAGGAGTGATTCTCAATGCCATCCCTCTGGGCATCAGCTTAGTGGAAGACTCAGCTTCTCAGAATCCCATCTCTTGCTATGAATGGTGGTTCCCGGGAATTATAGGGGCAGGTTTGATGGTGAGTAATATCTACCTGACTTGGAGAGGGTGCACCTGTTTTACCCAGCTCCGAAATTCTGGCCTTGCAGTCAACTATGTCTTTTTAGGATAAGTTAGGAATATAGTTTTGCATTGATTATATTGTGGTAGCGAGAAGAATTCTAATTTACACAAAGAAAACTGGTGTAGGCTAGAGAGCTTAGGCAAAGGAAAAAGAAACTGATGAACGCTGGTTACATTATCACTACCACATTTCTTCACCGGCTCCTCTTAATTTATTGCTTAGTGTTAAGGACACGTTTCTTTCTCAGTTTTTTCTTTTTTATGTAGTACTAGGGATGGAGCCCAGGGCTTCACACACTCTTAAGCACATGCTCTGCCACTGAGCTACAACCCTAGTCCTGTGGGACATTTTTAAATCCATTTCCTCAACTTTTCCTTTGGCCCCACACCAGTCCCTAGGTATTTACAGGAATACAACAGCAGTGGGAAGTAGGTAGGCGTGACAAGCACACCTGTGCACAGCCACTGTCTTGGAGCTGGCATGGTGAGGCGTGGCCTGCTTTTCTAGGAGCTGGCCTGGGGTATGTGGAGTGAAACGCTTGTCTCCGACCTCAAAGACTTTTGTTTTGGTTGTTACATAGATCGTAGAATGCCATAGTTTTATCATTTGATGATGGTGACTAGATCTGGTTTGTTTAAATCCACAGCAAGCAGTGCAACACAGAACTTGTGTTCTTGACTGTAAGCCACCAGAGCACTTAGAGGAGTCAGATTTACAGACTTTCTCCTAAGAATTCTGATGGTCTGTCTGGGTAAGATCCACTCATGTAATGGAACCCCTTCAGGTCTGGAAGAATATCTCACTGTAGGTCTGTGTCTGGTACATGACTGAGAGCAAAGACCCTTATCCTATGGCTTTGCTTTGATAGCAGTATGACGGGGCCAGAGATGCTGAAGCCAGCAACCCAGCATGCAGGAGCCTGCCTTTGTTCTGTCACTTGTGTGGTACATTGGTTGCTCAAGTTAGTGCCAGAGAAATGAGTTTCTATTTGGATATAGTGTGCGTGTGTGTGTGTGTGTGTGTGTGTGTGTGTGTGTGTGTGTGTGCTGCAAGCATTACATTGATATTACTAGGGTTTAACAGATAATGAAACATAGAAAGAACATCAAAGAAAATTCAGGGCATTCTAGAGGACAGTTTTCCACTTGGATCACTAATTATTGGGGAATAGGTACCTATTGGCACTTCCCTGCCTTCCTCATTTCACCTCCTGTCCTCCCTTCCCCTCCCCTTCTCCTCCTGTTCCTGTTTCTCTCTCCTTCCCTCCCTCCCCCTTCCCCCATCCCTCCTCCCCCTTTCTTTCCCCCTTCCTAGAGTCTCACTATGATTCTAGGCATGCACTAACACACAGCTTTGAATCACTAATTCCTAGTAGTGATCAGTTTACTGGTTTTATCCCTAGACTTACATAAAAACATTCTTAGAGCTGAGTGTAGGAAATCACTTTTGTAATCCTAGCACTCAGGAGGCTGAGGTCAAAAGATTGTGAGTTTGAAATCAGGTGGGCTAAATAATGAGACTAATGTCACCACAAACAAACAAAAACCTATAAACAAAAGACCCTTCTAACCAATGAAAATCTCTTATGCCACAAAATATTAAAGTTTATATATAAAACTGTGCCCTTTGGCCGACACTTGGATTTGAATGCACTCTGGTATTACAAAGCCGTTCTTGCCATCATGAACTATCTAGCCATCTGCTTCAGGCAGACAGAGGCGGAGGAAAACCTTTGCAAAGTCTGGGCTACTTCTTCAAACTGCCATGAAAGCTGTCTTCCAGACTGAAAGAGAAAGCATACCACTCTGCTGTGTGAAGAGCTTGGGCCTGCATCCTCCTCATTAGAAGGGCTCCTTTTTACTTGAGCAGGGCCAGCCTCTGCATCTGACGGAAGCAGACTCAGAGCTGGCTGAGTGTATCTAGCTGTGGAAACCTCTGCAAAGCTCTCAGTCTAAGATAATCCGCTGAGAATAACTCAGGCAGTTCTAGGTACAGATTGTCACTGCCAACAACTCATGAAAAAAAATTTTTTTAAATGTCCTACAAGTGATAACAAGAGCCCGAGGTGGCGATGGCATCCACCTGCATCCCTTGTGCTCTTCTTCAGGAAGGCAAGGAGTCAAATGAGAGAGGGGATAGAGAGGGACAGAGCAGTATAAATATCTCTCTCTCTCTCTCTCTCTCTCTCTCTTTCTTCCTCTCCTTCCCCCTCTCCTCCCCACCTCTTCCCCTCTCCCTCTTTTTCAGCTTGGAACTATGTAGACCAGGCTGGCCTTGAACTCACAGAGATCCATCTGCCTCTGCCTCCTGAGTGCTGGGATTAAAGGCATGGCCATTAGGCCCAGCTCAATCTTGCACTCCTTGACAACCTGTTAGCCAAGCACCGGGTCCATTTATTACCATGCTGCCTTGCTGAAGCTCTGTGATCATCCGGGCAGTGATTATCACTTGTAATTTATAGACCAACAAACAGAAGGCTGGGAATGTTAACAAGGTCACACAATGGGTGTGAAACCCAACTCCAGATTTATCTGACATTAAATCTAGTAAAATACCATAGTCCTCAATCCTTGTTTCAGAGACACAGAGGTCAAAGGTAAAATCCATGAAATAAAGGGAACCAGGAAACTGACTCATAGAAAGTTTCCATATACTTGTGAAACAGTTCAGAGAATCTGGAGTTCCTTGTACCACAGCTAAGTCTACCCTACTACTGTCAATAAATATTAACCAAAGGTATCAACACCAGGCTATTCCTAATCCTTGATATTATAGCCTGTGATTAACCTCAGACTGGAGGTTAGCCCCCACAAGCGAACAGGCGGGTGAGAGGAGGACTCGGAATACAAGCATATTTTCATAATCCTTGGCTCTATGTAGAATTTGGAAGCACATCTTTCCCAGGGGACTTGTCTTATCACATCTGCCAAAATACTGAGCTGGTGAGATGGCTCAGCAGTTAAGAGCACTGGCTGTTCCTGCAGAGGACCCAGGGTTTGATTTCTAGCACCCATATGGTTGGTAACAGCCATCTATAACTCTAGGTCCAGGGATCTGACACCCTTTTCTGGCCTCTGAGAGCAATGCACGGCACAGGTGCACTTACATACATGCAGGCAATACACTCATGCACACAAAATTAAAATAATAAATAAAATATTTAAGAATATTGACTAGTTTAAACCTGCAATTTGTAGGGAAGAAATCACTGCCTGTGCTAAGTAAAACTTCATGAAGTTAACAAGCCTTAACATTATCTGCTAAAGAGAAAAAAAAATCAATGTACTTATTCAGGCATTAAAAATATTTAAAATGTTTCCTTGAAAAATACAAATGAAAAAGTTCTTTTATAATAAGTTAATTATAAACTCAGTCCTAATCATTCTTTTATTGATTTCACTCATTACATAATGGTAATTTATCAGTCAGTTATTAAAATCTTAACAGAAAACCAGTGACTGAAAATTAAACAGATTAGAAGATTGCAATAAAATAAAATCATTTGTAAAATACAGCTTCTATAGTCTTTAAAAAATTATCAACATAATTACTGTATGCATGTATTTGCATGCCATGACACATATGTAGAGGTTAGAGGACAACTTTGTGGAGTCAATTCTTCCTTCCACCTTTATGTGGGTTCTGGGGATTGAACTCAGATTGTCCAGTTTGTGATAGGTGGTTCACCCATTAACCCAGCCTGCCAGCCCTTGTTTCTGTATTCTTGCTGAGTTATAGCTTTGTGTGTTGCTCGTTGTTCGAGTGCTTAGAGGACTCCCTCTGCCCAAATTCCGCCACAATTCTTCCATACTTTGTAAAACTGCACAACTTCTGAAGCTAGAGAAAGTATGATTTCTGCCAAGGAAAATAAGCAATAGTTATTTATAAAAACAAGACTAACCAGACTTAATTTCACAAAACCTTATGCATTCAGATCTATATGCTTAGGAATTAGTGATTATTCAACTCCTCTCTTTGTATGCAAGAGTAGCGACAGATGCTATACAAATGAATGGTCCTGACAGGGTTTTAGTAAAAAACTATTCCCAAAATGCGGTGATGGCCCATCCTTGGCCAGTTTGTGTTCAACACGACTTGTTCTATAAGATCAGAAAGCAGGGGCTGGAGAGATGGTTGAGAGCAGTTAGTGCTCTTCTGGAGGACCTGGGTTCTGCTTTCAGCACCCACAAGGCAGCTCACAATCATCTATCACTCCAGTTCAGGGGATCCGATGCCCTCTTCTGGACTCCACTGGCACCTGCACACAGTGCACATATACTCACGCGGGCCTCACTGGATACTCACACATTTAAAAAAAAGATCAGAAAGCAACGTGTAGCTTATGGGAACAAAGAGGTTTAGTGTATAAATGCTACACCTATTTGGAGGCTATTTCTTTTCCCTTCTCTTCTGGGCTTTCAGCTATGTACAGGGCATACATGTGGACACATGGCCTCTGAATTAAAAGGGCATTAGTGTTCAACAAAACAAAGCTTGACAACTCCAAGTGACATGGAGTCATTGCCATCAGGTGGAGTGAGGTTTGCTGGGAAAGCTGCCTTGTGGGAGGCATAGATCTTAAACCTGCTCTAGAAGACTGGAGATAGATGAAGCTCTGGGGAAAAAAGGATCAGGGAAGACACCCTTAGAGGACCTTGAAATGAGCAAGGGTGGCACGGCTCAGACAAGAACGGACAGCTTTATGAAGGAAGAGAGAGGACTTGGCAGGGGCAGGGTTTCCCTTTAGCCCCAGCTGGTCTGGAACTCACTATGTATTCCCAGCTGGCCTTGAACCCACAGATATATATACATTTTATGTGTATTAGTTATTGCTTGCATGTTTGTGAGTGCAATGCCCTCAGAAATCAGAAGACAGCATTGGATCCCCTGGAACTGGAGTCAAAGATGTTTGGTAGCCGCCATGTGGGTGCTGGAAATCGAATCTGGGTCCTCTTTAAGAGCAGCCAGTGCTCTTACCTGCTGAGCCATCCCTCTAGCCCCAAGAGGGTAGGATTTTAAGAACAGTCAAGGTGGAAGCTATGGTTAAGAGCCCGCTTGTAGCATTGGCTCCGGACTCCCGTTTCTTAGGTTTGCTTCTTGAACTTGCTCCGCCGGCTTTGTCAGTGGTAAAATAGAGGGAAGGGATAGTGCTTTCATCAGTGCCATGTCAGAGGATTGTTATGACGACGTGAACTGAAGCATGTAAATTCCATTACCAGCATCTGTCATGTGTTTACAGAGCTTGTAAAATGTTAGGAAAGAACAGGAGTGAACCATTCAAGAGCAGCCGGGCTGAGCTGGCGGGACAGTCCTCCAAGCTAAGATTTCACAAGTGAAAGAAAGCAATGGCATGCCACCCCTCGGTGATGCAAAACTCTGAGTTTCTCGTCATACTTGCTGGCTAAGTATTTTTAAAAATTGAAAGCTAACATCCAAGGACGTGGCACCATTTACAGCTCTCAGACTTCTGAAATTCAGTGTAAAGTAAGATCAGCACATATCAAAGTCACAGGAGCAGAAAAGAGAATGTGGACTGAAAAGTCATTCTCAAACCATCAGCTTCTTCTTGCCAGACTAATTCATATAATTTATGAGAAATTAAGTATGTGGCTGCAGGTTATAGGAGAGAGAGAGAGAGAGAGAGAGAGAGAGAGAGAGAGAGAGAGGATAAAAGGTAAATTTTGGGTGATGAAGCCAATTCTTTAGAGTCCTTCCAAAATAATTCCCAAGTACGCCATCCTAATGTACTTAAAACTCAGGAGTCTGTAGCTGACTCAGAGTTAACAGGAAAGTAGATGGAACACGCCCTCACTGCTGGCTCAGCTCTTGTCCTTTTCATCTTTATGGTCCAAACTGGATCACAAGGTTCACAACACAAGGACATTGCCAGTACCGCCTTTGTCCTCTTGAGCCCCGATTCCCCCATCGGTGGTAAACAGAAAGTGGAGATGACTAATCACTACCTGAAAAGTGACAGTGCTCATCTTTCCTGTCATGTTATTTCCAGGCCATTCCAGCAACAACGATGTCACTGGCGGCAAGAAAAAGAGCATGCTGCAACAACAGAACTGGGGTGAGTGGGAGCAGTCAGAGGCGCGCTCCAGCGACCGAGCCCTGAGGCACCAGCACCTGCCGTCACAGCAGGCTCCTGCGGCTGGGTCTGTCCTAGAAGCATGCTACTGGGGATGGCTGTCATATAACCCTATGGATAGCAAGAGAGCGAGTTTTCTTAACTCAGAAATTTAGCTTTGGAGCTTACATGTGGTCCTTTCCTCCATCTCCAATTTACATAAGAATCTAAAGGTTTTCAAGTCATTCACATCACACCCAGCGATGTAATCAACTTCATAATTTCATAGTACTAAATACTTGTTAGTTTTGTGGTGTTTATAAAAGACTTAGGGCAAATGTACCTTCAGCTCTCTCCTGTGCATAAGACTCGTTTGCTAGAACCAGAATAATAATTGTCCTTAAAGGAGAGGCCAATTATTTTTTCAAACATTTACTACTTACCATGTATACAGTAGTAACTAAGTGAAAGTAAATTAGTATTTAGTAATCTAGGTGTCACTCTATTCAAAAAATTTCAAATACACTATCAAATTATTTATGCTATAATATTGTTTAATCCCCTCACAATCTTGATGTGGGCAATTTTAAGAGCTGAGTTTTATTGACCAAGAAACTCATGTCCAAAAATAATCTACCAGTGAATTTTCCAAATTCACCAGACTCCTAAATTCACAATCTTTGTGCCAGGAACATGACACTGAGAGTTTCCTAATTCTCTAAGGAACTCACAATAAATACATCTAGTTGAGCTTGGCATAAAAGCTTTAAAGCAGTGGCTCCCAGTCAGAAGAGTACATTCACATCATCTAGGGAGATTTCAAGAATACCAGCTCCTGACTGTCTGTGTCTAGTCTTCAGAAGCATCCGGTGGATTCCAGTGTGGAGTGGGTGAGAAACACTGTCTTAAAGGAACAATGTCCACAGCAGATTTTTTTTTTTTTTGGTCTTTTTGAGACAGGGTCTCCCTGTAGCCCCAGCTGTCCTGGATCTCACTATGTAGACCACGCTGGCCTTGAACTCACAGGGATCAGCCTGCCTCTGCCTCCCGAGTGCTGGGATTAAAGGCATGCGCCACCACGCCAGGCTGCAGCAGATTTTTTAAAAATACCTTCTTCTGGTAGTCAATGTTTATCTAGTGTTATGGTTATTTTTACTACAATATTTCTGGTCTATCTTTGTTCCTGCTTCAGTGTAGGCAATAATAAACACTAGTTTTTGGTTTCTCCTACAAGTCACTTTTTTTCAGAATCTTGAGCTTGAGTCTGATCTGACATCACGTGTACGGGACACTCACAAATTCATGAGACAGCCTGACATGTCTGAATCCTTGAACTCAGAAAGTATTGAGTTTTGAATTTTTAGCAAATCATATTTTCTTTGAATTTTTCTAGCATATACCCATTCATGAAAAATCATCTTTATAATGATCACTCAAGTTCTGTCTTTTGCGAGGACACAGACAGGCGGGAATAACCAACGGCTCTTCCTGTAGGTACCGGCTTTAGGTTACTGGGTGATTTTGCTCACACCAACCTTGACAACAGTCCAGTCAGGCTTCAGCACAATCATAGATTATTTCATGATGAGTGTATACAGGGTAGTGTGTGTGTGGGGGGTAACAGAGGCACTATATATTATTCATGCTATTAATAATAATAGTGCTAATTGTTTAAATTATGACTGCCCGTGTATATTGCTTAATGGTGAAAACTTGCTAGCAATGTTTTTCACTTGCTGACAGCCAGGTGTTCCAGGTTATAACTGGTACCTTCTGAGTCTAGATAAGACCAAAGTAACATAAAATTCTCCTCCTGTCTTGGCAGGGCAGGGCTGGGGTCACCAGGGCTTTCCCCGTTTTAACTGTTCCTGTTATTTTCCCTTATTTAACTGTTCTTTGCTTCCTTCCCCTTTTCTTTGTTTCTTAATATGAAGCAGTTTTGATGAATCATTTGAATGACTCCTCATTCTAAGAGAAATACAGAAGCCTAGAATCTTCTGTAGTCAGGCCCTTTTGTAGTGACAAGTCAGAAACGACAGATGACCAGGGAGTAAGCACAGTGGCCCTTCTTAATGAGCAAATTTAGTAACTTACACAGGTCACAGTAGTGTGGGAGATCAGGATGTACATTTGGTCCCAAAGCCATTATTGTGTGTTTTCAGCTAGTGGACATGTGACTAAAGCCCTGGTGACCAGTGTTTCCTAGACGAGATCCTGACAAGCTGCCAACCTCCTCGATGCTAGTCTGTCTCTTAGGGTTGTACAGTATACTCAAGGTCTTATGTTCCTCTCCACATCTGTATAAGGCAGCCACTTTGCCTATTCATCAAGAGGTCTGAAGCCTGGCACCTGAGTGTCTATGTCAGTGGTCTGGTGCTCTGGGAGCTGTAGTATTCTTCCATCAAAGGAGAGGAAAAGTATTCTCTTGCTTCATTTTTGATTTTGATATAATCATAATCATCACTAACAACTTTGTGAAACAGAGAGCTTATTTTTGGAAAAAAACACATGCACATTAACTTCCATTTCCTGTCCTATGCCAGATTCCATACTTGATCTGTTTTTGTGACTCTGACTCATGAAATAAAAGACACAGTCTCTCCCTCCGACACAGTAAATTTGTGGGCAAATTTAGCTCCTCCATCCCTGCCCCAAAGGGATATTTGGCACTGTCCAGAGACATTTTTTGGTTGTCATACTGCGCTGGGAGAATGAAATGATACTAGCATCCAGAGGGTGGAGACCAGGCATGCTGACGCATCCCACACTGTTGGAAAAGGCCCCAACAGCAAGACGCCATCAGTGTGCAAGCTGAGAAATTGAGCTCTGTACTCGGCTGCTATTGATCACTGCAGAATGCTGGCCACTAGCCACTTACAGGATCAGCTCCAAACGTGGATAGAAGACTGAGTGCAAAGAGACCAGAAATCAAAATGCAGGTGGCTGAGATCTAGTGGAGGTTCAGTGGAGCAGTAAGTACACACAACACAGAGGAATCAGATCTGTGGCCAGAAGAAACAGGCAAAGCTCAGGAATATACAGTTTTCTAGGAGACAGTGACAAGCCCAGCCATCTTTTAGGGAGTATAACTCAATGGCAGACTTTGCTTTTATTCACACCCAGTTAAACTTCAACCTTAAGATTTAGAACCACATGGGCCTAGGCAGACAGCTCAGTCAAGCAGAACCCAGGTAAAAGCTGGGTACAGTAGTACCTGCCTGTAACCCCAATGCTTAAGGGACAGAGAGACAGGTGGATACTAGAGTCACTGGCCAGTCAGCCTGGGCAAATGGATGAGCTCCAGGTTCAGTGAGACTGTGTCTTAAAAAATAAGGTGGAAAGCGATAAGGTAAGACACTGCACGTCAACCTCCAGCCTCCATACACAAAGGTACATGGTGCACGTGCACACACACCCACGTGAACAACCCCCCCCACACACACACACATGCACATGATCTGGAACCACAGAGCAAAACTGCCACACACAGCTGACCAAATAAGACTGTATGTGCTGCTGCAACTTGAAAGAGACCGAGGACAGATAATGACATGTGCAGATGGCCTGTTTTATTTTCCAGATGTTTCTCTCGTCACTTTCCAATGTGATCACAGTTATTGGTGCGGTGTACTGTATGCTGGTGTCCCTCCAGGCTCTCGCAGAAGGTCCTCTCATTTGTAACTCTCAAGCCAACAGTACTTCCAGCTGTGAGTTTTCACTGAAAAACCTGAGGTAAGTAGCATTTTGTAGGACTCTGGCACGGCTGCAGCTAACTAGATAGCATGGTGCACAGTGGCAGGTTCCTCTCTGTTCCATCTACTGGAACATTCTCAGAGACCTGGCACATTAGTACCAACAGGTAGAGTCTGGTACAGAAATGGAGGAACTACCACACAGAATGCTCTGAGTAGTCTCCTCTAGGAGGTCTACTTATCCCAGGTGGCTTATGTGTGTGCGTCTTCTAAAATCCATGGCTGGGGGCTGAAGAGATGGCTTAGCGGTTAAGAACACTTGCTGTTCTTCCAGAGGACCCAGGTGCGATTCCCAGCACCCACATCGCGGCTAATAACTATCCCTAACTCCAGGTTCAGGGGATCTGGCACCCTCTTCTGGCGTCTGTGCATACTACATGCACATAGAGCACTTACATGCAGGCAACACACTCATAGAGTAAAAATAATAAACTATTAAAACAAATAGAATGGAATTTACTTCTTGTATTTCTTAACTAGTTACTAAGTTAAATTTGTAAACCACAGATGTACATCATCTTTTTTTGTGTGTATAGTATGCATGTTTGAATGTGTATGAGTGTACATGTGTATGCATGCATGTGGAGGCCAGAGGCTGAGGTTAGGTCCCTTCCTCAATTACTCTCCACTTTGTTTAATGAGGCCCAGCCTCTCACTGAACCTGCGTCTTGATGATTCAATTATAGTCTAGCTGGCCAGTTTGTCCTGGGGACCCTGTCACTGCCTCTCCAGGGCAGGGATTACAGAAAGCCATCATCCTGCCTGGCTTTTCCGCAGGTGCTGGGGATTCAAACTCTGGTCCCTCCTGCTTTCACTGCAAGTGTTTTATCTACTGAGCCACCTCCCTGGCATTTTACTTTGGTAATTACAAAAACTGAATAAAAACCAATACGATGTAGAGCAGTAAAAATTTAATAAAAACACAAGAAACACAGCAAGTAGACTCATGTGCTATATGGAGGGAATAAGAATATTTAAGTCACATAACACATAATATTGGAAGCTACATGTAAATGGTCCATTAAGATTATAAACCTAGGTATAATTTGTAATTAGCCACTTAGTTGGGAAAACCACCAGAATTTTTATGTTTCTATGAAAACAGTTGCTTTCTCCCCATTTCCCCCACCTACATTAAGAAAGAAAAATCTCTCAAAATTTGTGTAGCAGTTATTGTAAATTAAACAAAAACCTAAGAAGTCCCCTCAATGGACAAGATTTGAAATTCCAAGTGCTGTACACATTAACCATCAGGGAATGACAACAGCCCACCATGTAGTGGGCAGCAGGCTGTGCTGTGTGATGGTAGCACTCCGACGTTCCTTCCTAGTCTAGGTGGGGAGGCCAGTGAACGGGTAGAAGAGGCCGATGACCCTGTGGTCTCTGGAGGACTCACACAGGCACCTCACACTCCATGTGTTACAGGTGTTTTCTCAGCTCCAAAGCTAGGTGTCAGGATCCAGAACACGAACTCCCTAAGAGCACGCCATCTTACTCTTGATAAACCAAAGAAAAACACCTTGGGATATGCGTGTTTGGGCTAACAGCTTCCTTCTCATTTTCCGTTAGAACAGGCATACATCACCTTAATCAGCATAATTGAAATGCTGAATAAAAGCCGTCTGTCTGGTTTAAGAGCAGGTACAATGTGGCAGCTATGCACAGAAGACGGAACCCTGGGCAGGGGAGCGCCTCCCCTGGCTCTCCTGTCTTTGGCAAGCAGAAGGTTGACAGGCTGACATCTGCTACTTTCACCCCACCACAGGAAAACATCCCTACATGGTTCACCTCAAGATCAGGTGCTGTAGAAATGCTTGCTGAATGATGCAATCTGTGATGATTCCAAGTTTTACGGCTATTAGGCCTTATGGACACATGCTCAGAAAACCAGATCCTAGCTATGGCTTCTCGGCACTAATCCTACAAACGTACTTTGTCTTCGTACGTTGGGGTTTTTTGTTTATTTCCTTTCTAGGCACAATATTTAACACCGTTTTTTTGTTTGTTTGTTTTTTTATGCTTCCCCCAGTAACTTTCATCCAGAATCATTCAATCTGCAGTGGTTCTTCAATGACACGTGTGTTCCCAGCAGCTTAGAGAACCCCACCATCAATAACATGGTCAGTAACTGGAGAATACCCAGGTCCAATTCTGAAGCGGACAGACACCGGATTTTCCACTTCTCAGTATTTCTGAGTCTCCTGCTTGTTGGAATTCTTGAGGTCCTGTTTGGGCTCAGTCAGATACTCATTGGTTTCCTCGGCTGTCTGTGTGGTGTCTCTAGGCAAAGGAGTCAAATTGTGTAGTTTAATGGTAATAGAGAGTACCAGTACTTTGAGTAATTTGAGAATTATGTTTAAAATATACACTTTTCTGAGTTCAATAATGGAACATTATCTGGAGAGCTGAATCATTTTAATGAAAAAAGTTGTTTTTGAAATCACCCATCAACCTTTTCACATATAAAGCATGTCGTGCATGCTGTACGCCTCCACGTGGAGAAAGTCGTTGCCGGTTGATAGTGTGGCGAAGTGGGGGGGGGGCTTTCAATTCCTTTGTGGTTTTGTCTTGTTTTTTGTTGTGCTGCTGTGTGTAAAACTTTGTTAGACATGGTAATACTTTTATGGCTACGGAAGTAGGTATCAAGAGTTTTTGAAGAAATATGTATTTATATGTTTAGGGGGAAAGTCACATTTTTAAAATACTAAGCCAAAAACCCTAAAGTGACAGAAAGTGTTGTATTTAGATGACAGGACACTGCAATTCATTCTACTCTATTTTCATATGTACTTTTCATAATTTTATGGTAATACCTAGAAAAAAATCTGTCTTCTAAAAGCTGTTTTCTATATATGCTAATCTTCAAAAGACAGTAACAAAAATGTACTTACCGTATTAAAATGCTATGAAACATATAAAAGTAAAAATCTACAATTTTCTGAATGTTATCACACCTATAATTTATTCCAATTTCACTGGGCCTGAGGTTTTGAAAGTGGGGCTGGGGAGATGGCTCAATGGCTAGAGACTTGCTGCTCCTGCTTGGGACCTGAGTTTGGTTCCTAGCACCCAAACTGGGTGGCTCACAGCTGCCTGGAATCCCAGTTTCTGGGAATGTGAGACCCCCTTCTAGACTCTGAGGGCACACACACACACACACACACACACACACACACACACAAATAAAAAAACACAAATATTAAAAGATTTTGAAAGCAATACAAGACCAAATTTAGGTCCGGTGTGGTGGTGCATGCCTTTGATCCCAGCACTAGGCAGAGGCAGGCAGATCTCTGTGAGTTCAAGGCCAACCTGGTCTACATAGTGAGTTCTAGGCCAGCTGAGGCTACAGGGAGACCCTGTCTCAAAAAAATAAACAAGAACCCAAACCAACAAAACCAAATTTAGCTATCCAAATAAATCAGCACACCAAAAACTTGGAAGCATTTTCCTCCCCAAACTGTATGAAGACATTTTCCCTACATGCCTCCATACACCTATTTGTATGTGATGCCTAGCTTAACTATCTCCTTGAGGAGCCTTCCTGTGTGCATGATTCCAGTGAATGAAGTCAACCCTCACCCAAGCCACTACTACATTCTCCTACCTAAAACACAAACATGCCTTTATACCCCAATCATAATAGACTTAAAAGAACAGGGGCCCAATCCTATTTTTTCCATTCAACCGCCAGCCTTCTTCCACTTGGTATCCTTAGTAAGATGACAAGGTTTGCTTTTACCCTCCATCCAGTTTCTTTTCCTGTTGCTGTGATAAAGACCCTGACAAAATCAACTTAAGGAGAAAGGGTTTATTCTAGCTCAGAGTTCAGGGTATAGTTCACCATAGCATTGCCAAGGCAGCGGGAGCTTGAAGCAGCTGTCACACTGCATCTACAGTCAAGAAGTTCAGGGCTAAGCACATGCTGGCGCTCAGCTCCTCCTGTGTTTCCACAGCCCAGGATCCCCTGCCCAGGAAAATGGACCTGCCCACAACTAAGATGAGTCTTCCCATATCCATGAATCTAATCAAATTCCCACACAGAGGCCCATTGCTCAGATAATTCTAGATTCTGTCAAGTTCACAATCAACACTTGCCATCACAACTTTCCTTTATAGAATGTGAGAACTTGCTTCTTACACTGCACCGTCCTACACGAGATCAGCTTCATGGGCATGAGGACACAGTGCCTTCATTCATTTCTCGTGTAACCAGTATGTGGTTCAAGACAGGGCCATAGTAAGCATTCTGCTGGATGAATGAATCCCATCTTCAGCATCCAGACATTAGTGATGACACTGGCTTACTGAATAAATGCCCACCTGATAATAGATATAGAGGAAACAGAAATAAAATGAGTGTCGGCTCACTGTTCATGAGAGAACACACAAGGATCAGTGAGGGGACTTAGACTTTTTGTATCACCATGGAAAGGGGTGACATGAGTTCAATTTCTGCAGATTCAGAGAGAAGCAGACTTAGGTCTCCAAAAGAAATGTTTGGCAGCAGCGCCATCAGTGGAAATAGTCAGTTATTTCTTCGCTCTTTAGTCTTATGGAAATTGATGTCACAAATTGAATGCCTAAAGCCCGCTGGCCACCTGAAGTATGTTCCGAGGGCATTCAGTCTTTGATCTGGTACCTCAACTTTCAAATGCTTGTCTGTATATAGATGAGCATGTACCCTTCCCCACATTAAAAAAGTCATTTGCAAAGGTCAGTGTTTGTTAACTCATTCCTATCCCCAAATTCAATCTCGTTTTAGAATTTTTTGTACAGTATCTGCCACTTGAAACTCTTTTTTTTTTAAAGCACATATCTGAAGTTTCTCTTGCTCAGTAAAACTTTATAATCCTCATTCTTTTTCTTTAAATTCTTTAAATATTTTTGTATGGTGTGTGTGCGTGAGCACGTCCTCATGTTCCATGGCATGCTTGTGGAGGTCAGAAGCAACCTGCAAGAGTCAACTCTTTTTCACCACATGGGACCCAGAGATGAAATTCAGGTCATCAGGCTTGGATGAGCGAGCGCCTTGGCCCACTGGGCCAGCTTCCTGGCCAATAGGCCTCATTCTTTAACATGCATGATCCCCACCCACCGTCCGTAATCTGTCAGTTCCTTAAGAGTTGTTGGTCAGTTCTGCAAACCGAAGTCTCCACTTACTGAAATAATACATTCTACAAAGACTACTGGAGCTGAGGGTACAGCTCAGATGATAGAGGGCTTGTCTCCCATACAGACACCCTGGGTTCGATCCCCAGCACCACGTAAACCAGGCCTGGTGGCACATGACTGCAATCCTAGCACTTGGGAGGCTGAGGGATGAGGAACCTGAGTTCAAGGCCAGCCTGGCCTACACAGTGAAAACTTATTCCAAAAACTCCATAACAAACACCCCCCAAACAGACATTTCCCCCACAAAAATATACCAAGAAGCAAAGCCATAGGGAAAAAAACCCTAAAATGAACATTTATGATACATCGAACATTTCTTTTTAGAATTATTGTATGTGTATAGGTGTTTGTGTCTGTGCATGGGCATGCATGCACAGGGGTGTGGGGGTCAGAACTCAACACCGGGTGCCTTTCTCAATCACTCTCCACCTTCCTTTTTAAAGACAGGATCTCTTACTGAACCTGGAACTCGCAGATTTGGCTAGGCTGGCTGGCCAGCAAGCTCCAGGGACCTTGCCATCTCTTGTCCACACTGGAGTTAGAGGCAGATGCCACTCTGTCTGCCTTTTTATGTGGGTTTTGGGGATCTGAGCTCAGGCCCTCATGCTTGTGAGACAAGCACTTTACTGAGCCATTTCCCAAGCCCTGAAAATCAAACATTTGATCTGAAGTTGATACCCATAAAAAATATCAAATTAAGACGCCAAGGAATGTCTCTGTGTAAGAAAGGGAGGGAAAGCTCTGGGGCTGTGGAGCAGCTCTCTCAAAAATGCTTGCCACATGAGCAGAGGACCCGAGTTTGAGTCCGGGCATCCATGTTTTTAAAAACGTTTCACGTGGTGGTACACAGTTATAATTAGCATATGTATGTGTATGTGTGTGTGTGTGTGTGTGTGTGTGTGTGTGTGTGTCCTCTCCTCTCTCT